AGTCAATTTTATCACCACGAAAAAATAAGGCAACAAAATAACGTGCCCAAAAGGACAATTGCAGTGGAACAAGAAACACACAAACTATCGGAAAAAAAAAAAAAAAAAAAACAAAAAAGAGCCACCAAGTTCATGGCCCTATAGTCAATTTGCATTTCAGAGGATTTTAAAGGACTTTATTTAAGTGACAGATTTTGAAGGATTTTAATAGGCTTTACAATCCCATATGGATTTTGGCAGATTTGCAAGTATATTTATTATAGATTTCTATGAATTTGTAAGGATTTCTTTCATGGATTTCTTAGGATTTCTTTCAGTGCACAATCTAAAAAGAATTTTTTCAGTGCATAATTTTTTAGTGACAACATAAAATGGATTTGTTTCGATGCACAATCTGGTATACCAATTGGCATCCTCAATGTTCCCATGCTTTTCGAAATAATCAGCAAAGGCCATTACAGTATTGTCCGATAGTCTCCAATGACAATCTTGCAACATACTAAACTCCTTTTTCATCGCTTCAATGGCCTTGTTATGTTATGGCTTGTCAACCTTCCTTCCATAAGGAACTCCCATGTCTTATAATCTGGTTGACAGTCTCTCTCCAATGTGTGCAGATGCAATGCCTCAGCTTTCTCAGTCAATTCCATTCTGCATATATGCACCAAGGACATTGGAGACTCGAATATCATACCCACTGTATGCTCATTGTTTATTTGCTTGAGCATGCCTTTTCTTCTTCTTTCCATCTATGTTGGCCTTTCTTCTCACGGACTACTCAAAGGCTTGTTGGCATGTTCAGGCAACAAAATAATCTTGATCACAATCAGGTCAAGCTTTTTTCCATGGGTTGGATTGCAGCAAGCTGCATTCCATGACCTACAAACCCGAGAAACGGATATCAAATTCAGATAATTTAGAAGTGATGAATATTCGCACGAGGATAGCGTAGTCCATATTCGCACAGTTTCAAACTTTAGACCTCTGCCATTGTAGAAGAGATTGTTCCTGAATAATGACAACTTGTACATCCAAGTAGCTAAAATTTGGTGGCTCGAATTATGATCAACATAAATACATCTGATCACGGAGTGTTTCTTGATGCTCTTTTGTTATGTCTCTTACGATTATGTGATGACAGTGACGTGGAAGAAATGAGATAGGTTCTAAAAGAGGATGTCCTTAGACTTGAAATTACAGAGAACTCTCTTTGCTTTGTAACGGCAATTTAAAACTTTCAAATCGTTGGTTGGAGACTTGAAACATCTTATGTTTCTCAGATTGAACCCTGCATGCAATCTGACATCTGTAGGAGGAATTGGAAAAGCTTAGCCTCATGGATGTTTATTCTGACCCCCAAGTATGTCATATGGGCACATTATTAGTAGGGATAAGCACCCAATTGTGTCCTCAATATTTGCCCATTGAGAGGAGTAATCACTCATGATGCTAGGTTCATTCCATTTCCTCATACACATGTTAGACTGCATGCAGGTTTCAGTTTAAAAAACATAAGACACTTCAAGTCTCCCGCCAACATATTGGAAGTTTTAGATTGTCGTTACAAAGCAAAATGAGTTTTCTGCAATTTCAAGTCCTAGGATACCCTCTATAAGAACCTTTCTCATTTCTTCCATGTGTCATCACAAGTCTTATGAGCTACAAGTCTTAAGAGAGTATATCTTGGTGCTATTTTTTTGTAGCTCTGAGGACTATGTGATGATACGTGGAAGAAATGAGATAGGTTCTTATAGAGGGTGTTCCAGGCTTGAAATTATAGAAAACTCTCTTTGCTTTGTAACGGCAATCTAAAACTTCCTATATGTTGGTGGAGACTTGAAGACTTGAAGTGTCTTATGTTTCTTAGATTGAAGCCTACATACAATCTGACTTCTGTAGGAGGAACTAGAATTAACCTAGCGTCATGGTGCTTAGTATTACTCCCAATTGTGTCATATGGGCACATTATTGGAAGGAATAAACACCCAATTGTGTGCTCTTAGAACACAATTGAGAGGAGTCCTGCTAGTTTCATTATGTTTCCTCGTACACATTTCAGACTGCATGCAAGGTTTAGTTTCATAAACATAAACACTTCAAGTATCCAATCAACAAATTGAAAGTTTAGATTGCCGTTACAAAGCAAAGGAGTTTTCTGTAATTTTAAGTCCTAAAATACCCTCGATAAGAACCTGTCTCATTTCTTTCATGCATGTGTCGTCACAAAGTCTTAAGAACCACAACAAAAGAGCACCAAGATACACTCTCTACGAGTCTACGACAAGATATATTTATGTTGAGAACCACCAATTTTAAGCTACTTGGATCGACAAGCTGTCATTGTAGAGGTACAATCTCTTTTGAAATGACAGAGATCCAGAGCTAAAAATTGTGCAAACATGGACTATGATATGCTGTTAAAAATATTCATCACTTTATATTTTCTAGATTTCGTACCTCTAACTCGGGTCTGAAGCTCCTTGGAATGCAGCTTGACCTGACTCTGCCAAAGTTCAACTTCTCCAATGCTCCTCGAAGATTGTGTACTTGGTCCGATGATCAATCAAGCGAAACACTGAAAGGAATATTGAAGAGTGCTTCACGTCTCGGCTGGGGAATTAATCTTCCTTGGTTTTCCATTTCTGTGTGTTTGTAATCGATGACCATTTGATCTACGCAGCCGCAAAAACCCCTTGCCTCAGACAACTTGTTCTACCAACCTAGAACCCGATTGCAGTGATTGGATTTGAACAAGCCTCATGGCTCAAGGAGCTCAAGCCAATTTGGCAAGATGTCGAGAATGGCACAAAGGTCGAACATAAAAGCAAAGAACAAGAGTGATTACAAAGCAATATGAATTGCAATGCATAGTGATTTGAGGAAGACTGAATGTGCGTGGATTGGCAATAACATCGAATAGATTTATATAGAATTACCATCAAATACGTTTAAGGCACACGTGTTATATGCGGATTGGCAGTAACACGTCAATATCTCTTATAGTATTTGTCCATGTGGTGTATGCAGATTGGCAGTAACATGTCAATATCTCTTATAGTATTTGTCCATGTGGTGTATGTAGACTGGCAATAACATGTGATATTCCTCAAAATATTTGTCCATGTGGCACATTTAGACAACGGTCATATTTAAATTGGGACCAGCGCACAATGTCAATAATTTTTGTTTTAAGTGACGATGTAGGATTTTATTACTTACTTAAAATTCAAATGAATTTGCATTTAAAATGTATCCTAAATTCATTTTGGCCGGGTTTATATCTTTATTTATTTATATTATTTGTTGTTTTACACATAATCCACTTGGCATTACGTAATTGGCTTTGTGGGCCTCATATGGGTGCCCCATCATACACTCCTGGATTTCATTAACAAGGTAAGATGGAATGACAACATTGACGACCAAAGCAAGAGATGAAGAACGAAATTGATGAGTTTAGAACATAAAGGACCAAACTAATAAGTTGACATAATATAATGGACCATTTGGGATAAAAACACTAGCATTTGAAAATTCCAACTTTTTTGTTTGTCAAAACTAGAATGCCTTATGATTGGCTTTACAAGTGGATACAGGGAGTGAGAGTGGTTGTTCATTGTTTCAGAATTTTAAATTATGTTTAAAAAAGTAGGATTAGTCACTTAGTATTACAGTTTAGTGGTATTCAACTTCATTTGTAATTGAGAAGTCTTATGTTTGATTCTTGCCAACGGTGAATTTGAACAACATTATTATGGCTAGCCCACTTCCCCACCCCTTTAGTATAGAGAATATCGTTTGTTCAAAAAAAAAAAAAAATACACGAAGGATTAGTCCATATGGCATCATTATGATTGGCTTTATAGGCCCCTATGGGTCCCACACATCACACTGATGAAATGGAGTAACAGATAAATGACGAAATTGATGAGTTTGAAATATAAGGGACCAAATTGATGCATTGACAAAACATAAAGTATCATTTGTGATAAAACTCAAAAATAAAAAAATATATAATAAAAGAATGAGGTTGCTAATGATATTCTAATCTTTGCTATGTCTTAATCTGATCTGATTCGATACTAAATGGGACATGGATTAACAAGTTAGATCTAATGATTTGAATCCATTAATTTGATTATACATGGATCTGGATATGAATTAAGTTTGATCCGATCCGACTTTGGTCTGTTGATAGTTTTATTTTATAGTTTTAAGTTCAAATCCTATTGAAGACATTTTGAAATCATATTTTCTTTCAAAATGGTTTAGAATTGATCTACTGGTCACTAGTCACTGGATAGTTGACCAATCGATCACCGAAAAAGTCAAGGGTTACCCTAAAAGTCACCTGAAAGTTGGTTTGCCGGCTACTAGTTACCAAAAAATTTAGTGAGATTGAGTAGCAATCATTCCATTATTTTGAAGTACAGTGATATTTATAAGATGATTGGATTGATTTTTCAATTGGTACCTAAACTAAAAATATCCTTTTTTTTTTTTAAGTTTTTCTTAGAAATGGTAATTACACTACAAAAGCTCCTAAAAATACTATAAAATGTGTGGAGTCAGTTGGAGTAAAATTGTGAATGAACAAATTTTAGTTGTCAAACTGCAACATAGTTCAACAAACTTATATTTGAAGAGTTACATTTAGAAAACGGTTGGAAATGCTCTACCGTGCAAAATGTTGTTAACCGTTAAATATTTAAGTGCTTTTAAATAAAGCACTTAAAGAGCTTATTTGTATATGCTTTTAAAATGACTGAAAATATTTTTTGAAACAATTCTTAGTAAAATGCTATTAAATCTTAAAAAAAAAAAACTTAAATATTTCTTGAAAGATGCAGTCAATTTTAAAGACACAGTGTTTTGCTTCCAAATACAGGTAAATGCGCTTTTTAGTCTTTTCAAAACCAGTTTTAAACCCGGCCTGAAAACAAAACCCCAGCATAAACCCTGAAAACAATCACCCGCTCCAAGCTTCTCGCAGCTCAAAAATGAGCACAAGGCGGTTGAAAACTCTCCTCTGGCAATCAATTTCCGCCATATCTCCGTCCCCTCTGAAGTCCAACCCATTTTTCTCCACAAACCCATCACAACCATTCCCTTCTCCATTCAAATCCTCCCACCAAAGTCTAAAGCTTTGCTTTCCCAGATTACTTTGCACTTCTTGGCAGGACAATCTCGATGGTCTGTTCGATCCCAACTATTTGTTCAAGCCGGAGAGTTCTGGAGTTGAGTCTATTTCAGCAGAGGAATTCGCCTCTCTGCCCGATTCGGTGTTGGATACCAGTGCTGGTGGTGGGTCTTCGATACCAAAATTTGAATCAGCTAAGTTTTCTAACAATGCCATTTTGATTTCTAATGCTATCAGGAATAATAATGATGAGTTTGATGAACCCAGAAGTTTCTTAGGCAGTTTAGGGATACTCTGAATGAAACTCTGGTGGTGGGGGTGTTGAAGCTTATACAAAATCCTGAATTGGGTGTGAAATTTTTCATATGTGCAGGTAAACAAATTGGGTATAGTCACACTGCTCCCGTGTACAACCCGTTGTTAGAGTTATTGGAGTGTGGTAATAAGAGGGTAGCGGATCATTTTCTGCAATAAATTAAGGGTGATGATAGAGAGGTGCTTAGGAAGTTGCTTAATGTGTTGATTCGGAAGTACTGCCAAAATGGGTTGTGGAATGTAGCTTTGGAAGAGCTGGGGAGGCTTAAGGATATCGGATACAAGCCAACTCAAGCAACTTACAATGCTTTAGTTCAAGTGGTTCTAGAAGCAGATAAGTTGGACACAGCACACTTGGTCCATGTGGAGATGTTGGATTCAGGGTTTAAGATGGAGGAGTATACATTTGGTTCATTTGTTTACACCCTTTGCAAAGCTGGGAGGTGGAAGGAAGCTCTCGCATTGGTTGAGAAGGAAGAGTTTGCGCCCAATACTATTCTTTACACGAAGATGATATCTGGGTTGTGTGAAGCTTCACTTTTTGAGGAAGCTAAGGATTTTTTGAACGGAATGTGATGCGATTCTTGCATTCCTAATGTTGTGACCTATAGGACTTTGCTTTGTGGGTGTTTGAAGAAAAGACAGCTCGGTAGGTGCAAGAGAATTCTTAGTATGATGATCACAGAAGGTCGTATTCCAAGCCCTCAGATATTTAGTTCTCTTGTACATGCTTATTGTAGGTCCGGAGATTACTCTTATGCTCATAAGTTACTTAAGAAAATGGTAAGATGTGAGTGCCAGACAGGCTACGTGGTTTACAATATCTTGATTGATGGTATATGTGGAAACAAGGAATTACCAAGCCCAAATAAGTTAGATTTGTCTGAAAAAGCTTATGGTGAGATGCTTGATGCAGGGGTTATGCTAAGTAAGGTCAATGTGAGCAATTTTGCATGGTGTCTTTGCGGTGCCGGAAAATTTGAGAAAGCCTATAAGGTTGTCAGCGAAATGATGAACAGGGGTTTTGTTCCTGACACTAATACGTATGCTAATGTTATTGGCTTTTTGTGTAATGCCTCCAAGGTAGAACAAGCATTTTTGTTGTTTAAAGAAATGAAAAGGAATAGTATTGTTCCTGATGTCTATACCTATACTATTTTAATTGATAGTTTTTGTAAAGCTGGTCTTATTGAACAATCTCAGAGCTGGTTTAATGAAATGATACAAAATGGTTGTGCTCCAAACGTGGTGACATATACTGCTCTTATACATGCATACCTTAAAGCAAAGAAGGTCTCTGGTGCTGATCAACTCTTTGAGATGATGTTGACTGAAGGTTGCAGTCCTAATGTTATTACTTATACTGCTTTAATTGATGGTCATTGTAAAGCTGGTAGAATTGAAAAGGCTTGCCAGATATATGAGAGAATGAGAGGTAATGTGGACGTCCCTGATGTTGATGTGGGGCTTTGGTGGATGGTTTATGCAAAGCACACAAGGTTAAAGAGGCCCGTGATTTATTGCATGCTATGTCAGAAGAAGGTTGTGAACCTAACCATATTATTTATGATGCTCTTGTAGATGGATTTTGCAAGTATGGGAAGCTAGATGAAGCACAAGAGGTGTTTGCTAAGATGTCAGAGCAAGGGTACAGTCCAAATGTGTATACGTACAGTTCTTTGATTGATAGGTTGTTTAAGGATAAAAGACTGGATCTCGCTTCAAAAGTCTTGTCCAAAATGTTAGAACACTCATGTGCACCAAATGTTGTTATCTACACAGAGATGATTGATGCCCTGTGTAAAGTTGGAAAAACAGATGAAGCCTATAAGCTTATGCTGATGATGGAAGAAAAGGGGTGTTATCCGAATGTTGTGACTTATACCGCAATGATAGATGGCTTTGGGAAAGCAGGTAATATCGAAAAGTGTGTTGAGCTTTTTAAACAAATGAGCTCTGAGGGTTGTGCTCCAAATTTTATCTCCTACGGGGTTTTGATAAATCATTGCTGTTCAACTGGACTACTGGATGAAGCTCATAAGCTTTTGGATGAAATGAAACAAACACATTGGCCTAAGCATATGGTAGGCTACCGTAATGTTATTGTAGGTTACATTAGAGAGTTCATGACCTCTCTTGGGCTTTTAAATGAGATGAGTGAATGTGACACAGTGCCTATTACTCACATATACGAAGTTCTTTGTAAAGGCTGGAAGGTTGGAAGTGGCTCTTGAGCTGCTTAAAGAGATTTCGTCATCTTCACCATTTACATCTGTGAACAAGAATATGTACACTTCATTGATTGAGAGTCTTTCACATGCAAATAAGGTTGGTAAGGCACTGGAGATGTTTGCAGACATGATGAGGCATGGTGGTTTTCCAGAGCTGGATACATTCTTTCATCTTATTAAAGGGCTTATTAAAGCTAACAATTGGGATGAAGCTCTTCAACTACAGATAGCATATGCCACATGGTTTGTCTCTCTAATTCGTCTTTTCTTCCATACTGTAGTTTTCAACTATTTCTTTTACATGAAAATGTCTTTTTCCTCTTTATGTATATTTTCAATCATTTCTTTTCTTTATTTGGTTCTATCTTTTAGGTGGGAATATGATACATTTAATGCCCTAGAAAATGAAAAAAAAAAAAAATTCCTATGGCTTTTATTTCTTAGGCCTTTACCTTTCTATCCCTAAGTCCCAAAATCAAACCCTAACCAAATAAACCTCAATCCAGTGCTCATAAAGAATTGTGCATAGAGAACATCTAATTTGCATTTAAGAAATATTGCATAGATAAAACGTTGAACTACTTCTTCTATACTGGTTTTAATTTTGAGAAGTGTTGAATTTAATGTGACACTTTGTGTTGTGTGAGCACATGCACAATTAAGGAAGCACGGTAACAAGTCTATTTGTTTCTGTATCAGCATGTAAATTTTATGAGTGGCCATGCATTTTACATCTGTGCATGGACCATTAAGCCATTATTGACTATTTAAAGGAATGAATTAAGAAAATGTGACAATATTGGAACTCATGGACAACTACTTGAATGAATTGTTTGTTTGTGTATCTTATGTTGAATGGTTTGGCCGACTTGTCTGTTCAGGAGCAGTTTTGTTCTTATCTCTCAACTTTGCCTTACTGTCTCGGTAGCATTTCGCATAAGTGCCTTCTGATTTGTTGTGGATGACCTATCTTACTTTGCTGCAGTATGTGATTGAGCTGCCTCAAGCTGTAAATTTACAGTATCTACCATAAGTTGTCTTTTGTGCTTTTTTTAAGGTTTGTAAAGATCCTTTCTGTAGCATTTAGAGGTTAGTCCAGAATTTTAGATTCATTTTGGAAAGATCTTTGAAAGATAATGATCACACAGATCTTTGATACCACAGTAGTAACCAGTAGGATTGCTTCTGCTCTCTAGTTCTTACGTTGGCTTCTTTTTTTCCTTTTTTTTTAAATAAAAAAACAGAACAATTTTTTTTTTATCCCAAAATTTCTATTTAATGATCTGTGTGAAACAGTTGGTGCTGCGGATATCTAATTGCCTCTGCTTGTCACTGTAAATTATTTGTTTTTGTTTTTTATTGTTCTTATATATCTCAATTATTTGCACAGGATATCCATTGGCATATGCAAGAAGAGACATCTGACAGAAATTAGTGTGTTTTCTAGACCATCATTGTTTGTTACTCATGCACCATCTGATGACTCACTGGACCTGGTGACCTGGTTGACGGTTCTGTTGAGGAGTGGAGCGCATTTCTATCAGAGTCCGTGTGCAAGTATATGCAACATGAGGATGCGAATGACTGTTGCTTGCTTAATGAAGTGACTACATTTTTACTCCACTTTGTAAAGCGGCTAGAAATTCAAGAAAACTAGAACTTTTATCTCCTACCTATTCAAAGGAGGTATGTCATCTTATATAATTTCATAGCATGGTTACCCCAAAAATCTTGAGAATGCAGGATCCAATACCAATACATCCCCATGATGCCTTGATGGATATCAGATATTCCAAACCTGTATCTTGTTAATTTCTTGGAAATTTTTATTTTTGGGTATGGGATGGATATGTGTGAGCCATATACAATGGATACACAAGGGATACAAGCAAGAGTAGAAGGGGTTATTTGTAAAATTTCTATAGAAGAAATGGGGGGTAGGATTGAAAAAGGGCATCTTGGTGGGCATTTTAAGATGTTAAATAAGTTAATATGAAAACAAAACAATTCGTTAGGATCTTACTTGATTGTAATATTCCTTGTGGTCTTCATATCTAGTTTTTGGAAAATTGTGATTTTGCAGTATCAACTCACATTTCCTAAATTGTATCCATATGACACAGTTTCGATGTTCTGCACCAAGGCTTTCAGATGATGTTGCTTAATGAGAATATGCAGCAGGTCTCTGCTGCTAGAATTTATTTACTGCTCCAAAGCCATTTTCATGGTAAATCATCAGAAGGTCAGAAATTCAGGTTTTTATTATTCATATCTCTGCACTTGTTTAAATGCATCGTTGTTCACATACTTATGTACTAGGTACAGATAATTCACTATGTTATTTGCTACTTCAACATGGCAAGAATGATATTGCGCAGCTCTATTACTTACTGCTGTTGTTGCTCGTTGAGTGAGCAGGTTGGTGACGTGGAATTGAGTTCACAGGAAGTTGTATTTGATTTCCAATCAATCATGTCAAGGTAGTAGTGTTATTAAAATATCCATTTCACAGTTTTGTTGGTATCTAGGATATGCATGAAAACAAAACAGTATTATTCGAAAAACAGTTTACAGGATGAAATTTCTGTATGAGCTTGAACTTATTTTGCCTAGTTACTCTTACAGCAATTACTTATGAGTTGTGAATTGAGTGTAATAAGGATTATGTGATCAGAGCTGCGTTTGGAAATTCTCCGCAAGATCTCATAGGGTGTCTAATTTCAAATTGCAGGCATTATACAGATGCGAGAAGCTCCAGTCAAACTTCCTCATAATGACAATGATGCCAGAAAAGTATGTCTGGGTGTGTTTGGTGATTATTAAGTGTGCTGGAATTGTATTGAAGATGTTGAAATTGTGAACTTGAATGCAGATAGAGCATGTCTTACCGGCAGGGCTATCAGTTCAATTATATGGTGGATGAAGGGGACATGTCTGATTTTGTCGAGGATGTGGAGGAAGAAAATCAAGGTGGAGATATGGGTCTTGACGAGTATGACATGGTTTGTTTCCATCAACTCTTGGCTCCCATTGTTCAATCCTTTGTTTTTTCCTGTTGTACTAAATGGACTTGAAATCCCTTGTTCTTGAGTTTGAGCAGCTTACCAAAGTGTCAGATACGTCATCTGCACAAGCGAGAAAGGGAAAGGACATTGAAGGTATTCCATGGGACAGATTGAACATAACAAGGGAAAAATACAGATTGACGAGGCTAGAAAAGTACAGGAATTATGAGAACATCCCTTTATCTGGGGAAGCTGTGGACAAGGTTTTCTTCTTGTTCTCGAGCATTTTCTTCATTTCATTTCATTTCCCCAATTAGCAAGTCACTATTGAAGTTAGCAGACGTCACTGATAATATGTGTTAACTTTGACCAGGAGTGCAAACAAATGCAGAAAGGTGGAAACTACTATGACTTCTTCCATAATACAGGACTGGTTAAACCTACAATCCTTTATTTCCAGGTTTGTGGACCTGCAATGCCATAACTGTTTATTAGTTTTACATTTTTTGAAGGTATACTTCACCACTAATCCCGCTCTCTCTCTCTCTCTCTCATTCATGGGTTTTGTGTGTATGAACTTATTGCCTTAGATAATTTTGCTTTAGTTAAATGATACTTTTTTTTATTCTAACAAGATAAAGTTATCCACTCCTTTTAGCTGTTTTCGCAAGCTAATGTTCATAAAACTTTTGCACGATAATGTTCATGAAGTTTACCTTTATATCCTACTTGACATTCTTTATTGATTTTTACATGCAGCTGAGAAATTTGGTTTGGGCCACTTCAAAGCATGATGTCTACCTCATGTCCAACTTTTCAGTCATGCATTGGTCCTCTCTATCTGGGAATTTGTCTAATGTTCTCAATTTTGCAGGACATGTTGCCCCAACAGAGGTAGTACAACCTCCTGTACATAATTTGTATGATCTAGTTTCTTTGAAAGAAAATAAAGTAATCAAATGGATTGTTTTTCATTTTTTTTCAGCTTTTGTTGGTTTATGCTCTCTCCTTCCCCCTCCCAATTATTTTACATACGTTGAAGTGTTCCTTGTAATTGCTATTTGTCCTCTACTTATGTCCATAGTTTAAGTTTGCCAAGTTCTATGGTCTTGCAGAAACATGCAGGAAGTTTATTGGAGGGTTTTATGCAGACTCAGATAAGCACACTGGCAGTCAAGGACAATTTTCTTGTTGCTGGTGGCTTTTAAGGAGAGCTTACTTGTAAAGTGAGTTTCTAATGTTTACATCTCAATAGCATGTTGACAGTGCATGGCTGTTTGATGAGAGTTAAGTATTTCCACATTAGACGTATTGTTTGGTAAATCTGACAATTAGACTTGTCTGGGATCCTGCCATTCTGATGATTTTGCTTTGCCATTGACTTGTCAAGAAAAGAGCTAATGCCATTAGCTAGCTGGAAATTTGGTTACCGTATTTGATCTTGGAAAATTACTTCTTTTTTGGGGTAGAGATATGACCTCGCTACCAGAGTTTTAACACCAGTTTCGTTTGTCCTTTACCAATCAGAACAACTGGCAATAGCGGCTTTCAGGGGAGTCGGACATGAATAGCTTGGTTTTTATATTATGAGCTATGTTGTGTGGTGCTTGTAATTTCTTTCTTGAAATTAATACTTTCTACCTAGGAAAACAAAAATGAATTTTGTAATAATATTATTAACTTTTGTGAAAGGGGTGGTTAATATTTATTTTTTACACGTTGTATTGAGTGTGAGTACCATTTTGTACACAAGATTGTTGCATGTAGAAGCTGAGATTCTAGTATGGACAGGGAATTGTCTAAATATCTTGTAAAATGTTTGACTGAATTTAAGTTAAATGAAATGTAAGAACCGACTAATATTGGATATCAGTGACAGTGTGCCAGTAAGTGTTTGTTGAAGTATGTGAAAACTTTTTGGAATAGTCTTGAGGTTGAGGGTAATGGAAGCTGTTCTTGGATAGGCAACTTAAGGGACACCTTCCGGACTTGAACCTGGAACGAATGCTGGTTAGGAATTAGATTAGGAAAGTGCATAACTAATACGGTGTACTAGGATCCGCACTGAGCTCAGTTTTTGGATAAGGAAAGTGGTTTTGTTGCTCTTTTGTTGTACTACTAGTAAGAATGGTTTGACCTAGTCTGTGCATTCATATCTTTGGTTTCCGCAATGGTTTGTTAATGAAATGATTAAATTCAACTGATGTGGTAGCTACTGATGGCATTTTAGGCGCTCATTTCTTGTTGGATGTAATTTGTTTCTTGTAATTCTATATTTGTCATTATCAGATGCAAACTAGCGCTTTAGTCTGTTAAAGGATTATTTTTCTGGTTAATGTTCAGTTAAGTATTAAATCATATTTTTCTGTCTTTATCTGCAGTCTCTTGATAAACAAGGAGTAAGCCATCACAAATATACGATAGATTGGGGTATTTTAGCTAGTTCTGAAAATCTGTTCGTCTGAATTTTTTCTTTTAAGAAAACACAACTTGATATAGAAACGCTTTTCCAGGGGTGGAATGCATTTCATGGCATCCAATAATGACTGTGGCATAAGAGAATATGACATGGAGAAGTTTCAGCTTTTGAATCACTTTCGTTTCCCTTGGCCAGTGAATGTGAGTCATCCTAAGAACTTAATTCATATTGATGGTTTCGGTCAGATAAACTTACCCGCCTTTTTCTATTTCTATACTAAGAATCTACATATTTGTCTTTACATTTTCACTTTCTGTGATTTTCATTGACTCCAACCTCCCTAGATATTAATATTAGAAGGCTAAGTTGTGCATTGAAGAGTATTATTTCTGATATATTTGGAAATTGTTGAGATGTCAACTAGGAAGTCAAGCTTTCAAATCAGTTTTATTTTGTTCAATTGTTTGTGCTGAGGACAAGGACAATTTTTAAAATAAAAGGAAAATGGTGACTGGTGTAGGTCACAGACTAATTTCATATTTTGGTTTAGCTTGATGGACATTTCGTTCTTTTATAGATAAATTGAAGCAATTTTCCTTTTCAGCTAATGACATAGGAACAATTTTCCTCTCCAACTAAGGTCGCTACCACTTGCCAAAATTTTTCTTCATTGACCGTCTCCTTAAAAGCACAAAATGTTGATTGAGCCAATCCTAGTATTGAAAATATTTTGCAGACTTCAAACAAATTACCTCTTTGAAATAGAAGAGTGCAATATACTTAAGTGCTTGTAAACTGCAAGTGATCTGCAATTGCTTAAACTGGAAGTGATCCGCAATTGCTTAATGTGTTGGTTTCTGTGGTTATTCCTCCCATAACTCTTTTTCTAACGTGGAGCTGACCTTTTTTGCAGCATACATCAATAAGCCCAGATTGTTGGCTTGTTGCGGTTGTTGGTGATCAAGTAGATGCATTGCTCATGGATTTGCAGAATGGGAAGGTACCAAGATCTTTTTCCTGATCATGATACTCTTGTCTGCAACTTATTTTGTCGCATTTTTTTCCATGGCAATATTATTGCTAACAAGATGAGGTAAACTGTTTGAAAATTGAACGCGAGACATGTAGACTTTGAGGAAATGGTTAATGGTGGAAAAATACCAATACAAGTGTAATCTTTAAT